GCGGTGGTCGTCGTGCGTTAGCCGCTGGCGTGGGCTCCTCTGGTGAGCACATGGGCACCACGCCGGCTGCGGAGAGCGGGGGGCTGCGGGGCTGGGGGCAGCCTCTGCGGCAGCAGGGCTTCTGTAAACTTCTCCAGGCTTTGTTTAAACTGGGCAGAAAGGTCAAGTAGCATCTGAGGACCCATGAATAACATGTTGACAACATTGCTATCTGTTAATGGCAAAACTAGGTCTGTTAATATTCAATGGATGTTCATTCAGTTTACTTAAATACATTTTAGTATCTGTAGAGCATGCTTTGCAGTATCTAATCGCTGTTTGCTTTGGATTAAAGCTCCTGATAATGAAGCACTTAATAGGTGGGGGGGCAGAGCAATTGGGCTCTTCCTACTATAGAGGTAGCAGTGAAAACAGAAGCACCCCTTCTCGCTGGGGCAGCACAGTGCTGCTCCTCCTGCGAGCCCTCGGGAGCTTCACCTGCGCCCATCGAAGCTGCTTGTTCACAGCTCTGGTCTCCATCAGAAACCTCTCGCTGGAGGCGGGCAGTTGCCGCACACTTGCGTTGCTGCTGAGACCCCAGCCCGTGGTGGGCAGGGCAGCGCACCCGGAGCAGAGCACTGCATGGGGCGGGTGGCTTCACCCTGTCCCAAACCCCTGTCCCTGGGGGTGGCTGGTGCCCTGGCAGCTCCTGGCTTAGCCCACCGAAGGCGGCTTGCTCAGAGAAGTCCCTGGTTTCGGCAGCCCTAAACAGCCTCTGGCGCTCAGCAGAAGCTGCAGCGTGCCGGCACTGGCTGGAGGCTCGCTTTTCCAGCTGGGGCCCTGCGTGTGCTCTAACCAAAAGTCACTCTTATCTCGACCTCCTGTCCTTTCCCCTTAACCCAGTTCCCTCGCTGGGTGAAGTGTCACTGTGCAAAAGCTGGAAGTATGTGGCAATAAACCTCCTGTGTGCTTGCGTGCATCTGTCTTGTCTCTCGTGCAAAGATAGCTCATCTCTGGACACTTCATCTTTGACTTCCTAGGTCCCATCAGCAGCATCCTGGTGAACAAGTACGGCAGGCGGCCCATCATGATCGCTGGCGAAAAACTCTCCGGGTGCGGGTTGATTGCAGCCTCTTTCTGCAACACGGTGGAGGAGCTCTACTTCTGTGTTGGGGTTGTAGGGGGTAAGTGATGGCTCTGCACTGAAGGGGCTGCAATGGAGGTAAGGCCTCTCCTGAGGCAGCAAGAGGAGCAACTTAAACCCAGTCATTATTAGGGAATGTCTATGGTGAATTTGCACAAATCCTGATTCCTGTTACGTATTCTAATAAGAGATGGCCCCAGTGACATGATGTGGGGGGACCATATTAGTGACTGTACACGGGACCAGTATTTGGTACTGAGAATAGAGAGCACCTGTTGCTCCTGCCCTGGGTTAGGGTTGTGCCCCGCCAGTCGACGTAAGGTTTGTTATGAGCTGGGGCGGTTCTCCCCTTCTGGCTCCCGAATTCCTGCGCGTGGCTTTGCTGCTGCCCTGGCACCTCCTCCCAAGTCGGCAGCAGGGGCTGAGTGCTGCTTGTGCAGTCGGGATGTTAATACAGCCGAAACAGCTGTGAAACCCCCAGAACTGAACCCCCACGCTCCTGCTTGTCCCGCCAGCCCTTCTGCCGGTGCTGCTGGCTTGTGGGGGTGGCCGAGCTCTGAGACCCTTCTCTCTCCTCTCCTTCAGGCCTTGGACTTGCATTTAACTTGAACCCAGCCTTAACCATGATCGGCAAGTACTTCTTCAAGAGGCGTCCCCTGGCTAACGGGCTGGCAATGGCGGGCAGCCCCGTGTTCCTCTCCACCCTGGCACCTGTGAACCAGCTCTTCTTTGGCATATTTGGCTGGGGCCGCCGAAAAAAAAACTGCTGAACTGCTGCGTCGCCGGATCCCTGATGCGGCCCATAGGCCCCAAGCCAGATCAGCTGAAGAAGGAGGCTGCCAAGGAGGTGCTGCAGGAGGCTGGGAAGGCGGTGAAAAAAGACGATGGTGACACCAGCACAGACCTCATCGGCGGGAAGACCAAGAAACAGAAGAGCACATTTTTCCAGACAATCAACAAGTTTTTGGACCTGTCCCTGTTCACGCACAGGGGCTTCCTGCTCTATCTGTCGGGCAACGTGATCATGTTCTTCGGGCTGTTCACTCCCCTGGTCTTCCTCAGCAATTACGCGAAGAGCAAGAAGATTGCTAACGAGTCTGCAGCCTTTCTACTCTCCATCCTGGCCTTCGTAGACATGGTGGCCAGGCCTTCCATGGGACTGGTGGCAAACACCAAGTGGATCAGACCCAGAGTCCAGTATTTCTTTGCCATCTCTGTGATTTACAATGGGGTGTGCCACCTCCTGGCCCCCATGTCCACCACCTACGCTGGCTTCTGCATTTATGCCGGCTTCTTTGGCTTTGCCTTCGGCTGGCTGAGCTCAGTCCTGTTTGAGACGCTGATGGACCTGGTGGGAGCGCAGCGGTTCTCCAGCGCCGTTGGCCTGGTGACCATCGTGGAGTGCTGCCCCGTGCTTCTGGGACCCCCTCTGCTAGGTAGGGTGTGCTGTGCCCGGGGAGCTCTGCCTGGCCTCGCTGAGCGGTGGCGGGTCCCCCCGAGCTGTGGGCAGCCCTCAGCGCTGGGGCAGGGGCGAGGGGGCAAGCACTGGCCCTGAGGCTGCCCCAGCATCTGGGGGATCGCTGAGGAAGTGGGGTCTGAGCCCCTGGCACAGGCTGAGGGAGCAGGGGATGGAGGAATAAAGGCCTGAAGCTGAGGGTGATGGGCTTGGGGTGCTCTTGGGAACACCTCCACAACCTGGAGCAGTTCTGGGGGTATCTTGCTAAGCTGTGCCCTCTCTGTCCCTCAGGGAAGCTCAACGACATATACGGTGACTACAAGTACACGTACTGGGCCTGCGGGGTTATCCTCATCGTCTCCGGGATCTACCTCTTCATCGGGATGGGCATCAACTACCGCCTGGTGGCAAAGGAGCAGAAGGTGGAGGAGAAGGCGAGGAACGAAGGGAAGGAGGAGGAGACAAACATTGACGAAACTGAGAAGCAGAAAGAGGCAAACAACGACGTGGCCCCCTCGCCTCAGAAGAGCGCGGAGGATGGCATCAAAGAGGAGGAGAGCCACATGTGAGGGACCGGTCTCAATCCCGGAGTGTCGGGGAAGCGCCGCTGCCCTGGCGCGGTGGCTGGGGCAGTGCTCCGCTGGCGCTGGGCAGCTGTGAGAAGTGTTTAAACCAGGTGTTCATTTTTAACCGGGCTCTGAATTGTCTTTCCATCTGTGTTCAACAAAGGTAACAGGGCTACACACGCAGTATCCTCGTGTGTCGGGGGGCAGGGGGGCTTTTTATAGTCGGGCTTTTTAACAGTAACATGAATGTACTAATACGTGCCTTACAGTCTTCATATCTAGCTGAATCTGGACGAGCCTTAACTCTAAACTGTGCTTTAGCTCTGTATTCTGCTTGGGGGGTGTGTGTGTGAGCGTGCGTGTGTTTTGGGGAGTTTTGTTGTTAAAAAGCCATAAAAAGCAGGATACTGGATTTGTTGAAGCACGATGGCCTTCAGGGCTGGCCCCGGATGAATGCTGCTTCACACGCTTCTTACCGCAGGCCCTCCGCGGAGGGGGAGATCCGGGCACGGGGCGGGGTGGTCTTTGGCTCCTGTGCCGGGTGCCTTCTGGCTCTGTAGGTGGTCTTTTAGGTATGTTTTGAAAACACTTTAGCTACTGTAGTTCTTTAAAATCCCTCTTTTGTAGTTGTGCTCTCACGGGATATTCGGGTTGGAGAAGGATGGCTGCGGCTCAGGCTGGGCAGCGTCGCCCGC